TAGAGCCTATAGCATTGGATGGCAGCTGCCAGAAATAAGCCCTCCGTCTCGTACTGCGAGCGCACTGCTTCGTCCGGATTTTGAAACTCTTTGACACACACCTGACAACCCGTATCAGACAGCCCCTGGGAGCAGCGCCGTACTCTACAGAGCCTGAATGGTGAGAGGTAGGGAGGCACTATCTGCACCTGTCCCAGTCATGCCACAAACCGCCTACGACATGCCCGCCCAGAGTGCCACTCAGCAAGTTATTGTTACAAATCTCTGAACAGCACGGTCCAGTTACTGATCAGGTGTCCGCTGCCAGACATACGACGAAGCTCCTGTGGCAGCGCGTGAACTGGAGACTTGGTGTTTCAGGAACCCATGTTGCCCTTGGCTGATTTCATCCCGTCGGGAGGGCTCCCCGCGCCAATACCATGTCTGCCGCGGATCCGGGGCCAAGAAATCATCAAACGAACGAAGAAGAGGGATTTGGTAGTAGTCTAGCTTAGAAGAGCCAGCGATCTCCCAGATTCTCCAGCTCCCTGCGCTGATTAACACCAAAACCGAGAGGCTGAACAACGGGCCCATCGCCCTATCCATCCCTTGTCTATAAGAGAACAAGTATCCAACAGTAGGTCAAACCCACTGTCGCGGATGCCAGGCGTCTCGACATCGTTTGAGGGAGTCAGCACTGCAACTCCACGAGAACTGGGGAAGGGAAAGAAGGTAAGAAATAAGCTTAGAATGCATATGTTATAGTGCACGAGGGTCATATTGCCTTGACGCCACTGCATATAAAGGAAACTCATTTCCGATTATTCAACATTGATCTTCAACAAACAACTTCCAGTCATCGCATTTCGTCTTTTCTCTTCTACTGCTGCCAGGTGCACTTCAACTAGTATAATCAACATATTTTTTTCGACTTTTCACAATTACTACCACCACCATGCAGTTCTCCGCCATCTTCTTGACCGTCGCTGCCTTTGCCGTTGGCAACGCTTTCGCAGGTGGGCAGTTCCTATTCCATTCTGAACCACCTACACAGCACAAAAGTTATTACCTTATTACAACTAGCTAACCACGTGAAAATGATAGCTTCGGTACCGCGCAGCTTCGCTGACGGAAAGGGCAACGCCCTGTTTGGAAACGTTGGAACGGCATGCTCTGTAGGCGCCAAGGATGGCGAATGCGATCGATTCGGACGCTGCGTTCAGTTCATTCCTCCCAACGAGCAGTCTGTTCTCAACCAGGGAAGGGAGGTAGCTACATGTACTGCAGGTGGACAAACTGGCACCCTCTGAGGGGAGCGTAGGACATAAACCTCAGAGCATTCAAGTCAAGACATTATCCTGTTTGTCATTACTGGGCTGTGTTTGAACACATGTACAAAGTCGCGCAATCTGTTGAGTCATTCGCCGCGGCAAACTTGGAACTTTTCAAAGCCAAATCATTAACTGCCTATGACAGAATTCCCTGTCACATTCAGTCACCAAGCCTATATCATTGCCAAGGCTCGGTCCCTTCATGATGCTGTGTTCCATCTGCCAGCAGTTCATAGATTCTATTGTGACAGCCCAGGTCGGCCAATTGCATCCTCATCACTTCACTTGCCGAAGTCTACGAGTGCTGTGGAAGCTGGATGTTATGCTTGCAATAGGGTCTGGGCGATTTTACCTCCTGACACAAAAGTTTCAAGTCGAGTACGTGACTAGCACCGATGAGATTCCCGAGGCAAGCTATGGGAGGGATCATGCGGAAGCATTTGAGTCCATTGCATGTTGTAAACCCATCACAACAGTATACCGATCTTTTGATGACAACACGACCGAAGAGCGGGGTTTCCTTCGAATCAATATCAACCAACAAGCTTTATGGTCATGGGCTTCCACCAAACAAGTGCCGAACCCGACAGTATATTTGAGGCTACAAGCCTGCCCCAGTACGTGGGACACATTACAAGGTATGGTGCAAGTAAATGGGACTTTTGGAATGTGCCCATATTCTCTTTCGAAGTCTTAAAACGAGACTATCTGCTTCGTGACGGAAACAGGGTTGACTGATCACTCAATAGATTCACATCAGCCAAGGTCTGCAGGATCACAATTAGACATGTCCTGTATTTTGCAAAGCTTGGCCCAGGCGAAGTCTTGGATTCAAGATTGCAAGCATGAGCACACGAAATGCGATATGATTGAGACGAACTCGAAATGGTATCCGACACGCCTTGTCGACATCGGGCCTCCGGAAATGATGGGAGACATCTGCCGCCTGGTCAATTCTGGTGACGAGACAATCGAATGCCCCTATATGACCCTGAGTCACTGTTGGGGAGACACTAAAAGTCTCGTCCTGGAAAAGAACAATGCTGTTCAGCTCTTTGAAGGCGTTCCTTCAAATGACCTACCGCTACTGTACTCAGATGCAGTCTTTGTGGCCCATGTAATTGGTATACGATACCTGTGGATCGATACTCTTTGCACCATCCAAGAAGGAGATGACTTTGCAGACTGGCGGCACGAATCGACGCTCATGGATAAAGTATACTCTCATGCATTTTGCAACATCTCTGCCTTGTTTGCCGAGGACAGTGACGATTCCCTGTTCAGCAAACCTAATCCTGACGCTTGTCAACCGCCAGTCATCTGGCGAGACGTCGAAGACCAAGCAACCCCGGCTTTTCTTGTAGACACGAGATTCTGGTCCAGCGAGGTTCTGGAGCAACGGGTTAACACAAGAGCATGGGTACTTCAGAAACTACTTCTTTCTCGACGTATCTTGTTTTTTGGCGAGCGCCAGGTGTTGTGGGATTGTCGATCAACTCGCAAGGCTGAGATATGGCTCCCTGACGCTCCTATCGAGGATGTCACCAAATTGGGCCGCATCGACCCATTGGGCCGTATCGACGATCTCCATCTTGGATGTGGCAACGCTCGCGATAAGCCCAACGACACACGGAACGCATATCTTTGCTGGCACGACACCGTCTCGAAATTTACTCGCTGCAAGATCAGCTTTCCTGGTGATAGACTGATTGCCCTTTCGGCAGTGCCAAAAGAGATGCTGTCGGTGCTCAAAGATGAGTACATCGCAGGCATGTGGCGCCGCCATCTAGAAAATGAACTTGTTTGGTGGGGTTTCTTCTCTTTGCAGCCCTCCTCAAGCCTAGGTCCTCAGATCTATCGGGCTCCAAGTTGGTCATGGGCCTCAGCGGAGACTGTGGTCGTACTAGGTCGACAATATAAGGATTGCAAGGTTGATAGTTTCATTGAGGTTGAAGATTATCATCTCGAATATGTCACTAGCGATAGGATTGGTTTGGTTTCTGGAGGGTGGCTACGTTTGTGGGGAATCCTAAGGCAAATGAAGCTTTTACTCTGCGAAGAATATCGCGAGGGAAGGCACTTGATACGCATAATCTGACAAGGGCTGCAGGTCTTTCTGTTAGACAAAGTACCCTCCAGTTCTTCCTGCAGGATTTTGTAGTCTCAATTTTATTTCTACAAAGTCTTGGTCTGCTCTAAATGCTAAGTATGTTTCTATAACAAGGTTTAAGGATAGTGGCTTCCAGGCTGATATATCACGAAGCACTCGATTCTTAACATACACAGGCGTAGCGTAACTTCTCCAGCTTGCAACTCTGCTGAGCTACACAATCATCGTCGCTCTCCAAGCCACCTGTTCTTGTCCTGGCCTTGAAAAGATGGCATGGACAGCTTTTCCCCCTTATTGTACCATGAAAAGCCCCTCTACACCGGTGTCCTCAGCGCCCTTACCCCAAAGCTAAAACATTCTACACCTGAGATGTAAGCGGACGGAAATAAGCTAGCACTCTAGCTTCTTGGTCAGCACACTCGAGATCCCACCGATCTGGGCGACTTGAGACATGTATGAGATAATGAGATTGCACATGCGATCCTGACGGGTAAGCTTCCTTCCAAGCCACCAGGAATCGCGCATGAGCCCTGCGATGGGCATGCGAGCAATTTCAGGCTGGGAGAAAGCTCATCGATCCAAATCTAATGCTTAATCATTAATGGCGGCGAATCCAACGCAATTATCAAACCTTACCCGCCTTCTCAACGCATACTGGCATGCCGTCCGGGCTTTTGTGGGCTCGTAGGCTCAACCCGCTCAAGAATAAGATCCCACAAGCGATTTGAAGTCCAGAACTATATGTGTGTATGGTACATGACTACAAATGAGGTGCGTCTTTTCAGCCCGATAGAATGTGCAAGACAAAGAAAGGCAAAAGTCAATCAATCATTAGACTTCCCGCAACACCATCAGAACCTAAAAGTCTAATAAAACCCTTACGATCATACGATCCTTCGCTGGCGCTGGAAGAAAAAAAAAAAAAAAAAAAAAAAAAACTTCAAGTCACTCATATGCTGACACCAGGCGATACTTGACCAGCTCGATCCAGACGGGACTCGAACCCGCAATCTTCTGATAAAATTCCGAAAATCCTTAGGGATTCCTCTTTTGTGGAATCAATCGAAGTCAGACGCCCTACCAATTGAGCCACCGGACCGGAGCGAACTGAGGTAATTGCTTACCCATCGATGAAAGTGGAACAGTACACAATGGTCTCTTAATGCAGAGTAAGTTGCAGAGGTGTGGGGGTTGTGGTCTCGAGGTGGATGTGAACTTGTGAACACAGCGTGGTGGGGCTGCCTCATCTGACTTACACGAGGTTGAGACCATCAGCCCGGGCGAGAAAGACCTGATGAGACTCCTGATGAGGGGTTGAAGGCTGATGTTAGACGCAAACACGTTGAAATACTCATATGGGGTACTAGTAATTTGATTAAACATTGGTATCTCCACGAAATGACTTGCGCCGATGGGGTGTCCCTGGTATATCCACCCATGTGTGTATGTACGTATAGCCAGCGGAAACAAGCAGTGTAATCCAACGAAACCTTCTCCAGAAATTCTCAATGCGATGCTCCATGCCATTTTTATCCAATCATTCCTCTCCCCACAAACTTTCAGCACGAATAGCCCAGACTCTAGGCCTTGTACCAGTTCTCGGGAGCGTCGCCGAGGCACTCTCCGACAGTGACGGCGCGGTAGCCCTTCGACTTGAGGTTGTCGATCATCTTCTGAACCAGAGAAACAACAGTCTGCTGGTGTACATCGTGCGAGAGGACAATGTAGCTGTTTCCCGCGGCGTCGGCGCTGAGCTCGTTGTTGAACTTCTCAGCCGAGATGTGCGTGGTCTCGGGGGTATCGTTTTCATAATCCTTGGTATCGAGGCTGGTGTCGATGACGTGGTAGCCCAGGCTGGCCATATCGCTCAGGCACGCGGCGTCGCAGGACAGGAACGGCGCGCGCATGTACTTGGGGGCGAAGCCGGCGATGCGGCGAGTAGCATCCTCGAGCTGGGTCATCTGGGAGATGCGGTCCGCCGAGGAGAGGGTGCTCAGGTCTGGGTGGGAGTAGGTGTGGGAGCCGATAAGGTGGCCCTCGGCCTTCATGCGGCGAATGTTGTCCGGACCGGGTGCCGTCTCGATGTTGCCCCAGTTGTTGCCGTTGACGAAGAAGGTGGCCTTGACGTTGTTGGCGGCGAGCGTATCGAGGAGCTGGGAGGTGTAGGTGAAGGGGCCATCGTCAAAGGTGAGGGCGACGACGCCGTTCTGTGTGCACTTTGAGATGACTTGGCCGACGGCGGGACCTTGACGGCGAACGAGAGGGCTTCAAGTGGGATGTTAGTTTCATGTCTGTGTCCGAGGCCAAGAAAAGTGAGCGGGAACGTACCTTGCGTTGGCGAGGGTAGCCAGTGCAGTGGCGCCAAGAACAGTTGAGAAATGCATGGTATGGGTTGGTTGATGAGTAGGGGGAGTTTGAGTGACAGGGAAGGATGAGATGTCAGTGAGACTAAGGGACTCGGACGTGAGTAGATATTAAGCTACAAGATGCTTGATTAATCTTGGCTAGGAAAGCTGGATGCAGGATGAAGCAGAGTCGAGAGGTTGGGCAGAAGGGGAGGGGGAAAAGACGACTTATATGACCCAAACTTGGGACGCAACGGAGATAGGTCTGAGGAGGGAAACATGGAACAGTTGACGGTCAGAGTTGAAGATGGGCCCAAGCCAAGAGTTCACGTATGGGTCGACCCATCTCCGTACCTAGAATAGAGTCTAATGAGAAATCCGCTAGAAGGTAGAGAACCCGCACGGCACAGCCTGGCGGCGGGGTGGTGGACGGACTGGATAGTCAACCTGCCTCATCGTGGGAGTGGGTTTGAGAAAACGGGACGACTGCGGACCAAAGACGGTGCCCCATCCATCCATCCATCCATCCCGCCTTTCGCATCACGCAGCAGCACCAGCACTTGCTTGCCCCTCGTCCTTCGCGTGCCCTCGCCCTTACGACGGACTGGCCGCTCAGCCCTAGGCCGCCATAGAGCCTTGGCGGGCACGGGGAATAGCACCCGATGAGGCTCCGATACGAACCACGGTACTTTAGTCATGATGATGGGCAGGGTGAGTTGAGAGCAACGACGGGGACTGATGATGTGCCGTGGGGGGAGAAGATCCACGGCGCGTTTTGACGTCAAGAGGCTTAGAGGCATGTAAGCTGACTGGACGGAGGGATCACCCTCCTGTAGGCAGACGCAGAACAAGGTATCTTGCAAAAAGAGAGGCGACCAACAAGAAAAAGGAAAATCGTAACGCAGGTAGGTACTTCGGGATGTGGATGGAGGGGAATAGCTCGAGCGCTGGCTCGAGGCGTCTCTCATACTGTCATCCTCGACCAGGTTTCCTGCTTGAAAAACGTGCCAATTGCTCTCGCCCGAACGGCGGCGCAATCAGACACCATACTGTCCATCTAGGAGGGGAGAAGATGGAAAAACCAGGCAGGTTGGGCAGTACATCGGGGATGGCTGGGATGTGGCGTGAACGGTACCAAGCAAAACGGTAAGTTTTGGTGCAAACCTGCGAGGTACCTATATACGCCCACGACGAACCAAGTTGCGAGGGTTCAGCCAGAGGTAAACGGGGTGGGGTCAGCCACAAGCGCCGCTCGATACTGTCTCGGGATGGACCTGTGAGGTTTGTCTTGCTTTGGTCGCGAAGCTATTGGGGCGCCGTTGCGGGACAAAGGCCGCGCATGTGGTTTTTCCGAGGCTGGAGGTCTCTGCCCATACAGAAGAAGAAGAAGACGCCAAAATGGACAGAAACGTGGTGCGCGTCCCTGATGAGAAGAGGTTGAGAACGTGTTTCCGATACTGTAACGAGGGGTTCCCCTCGAAGAATCGAAGGGACCCCCTTTCGTCGCAGCCCGGGAACCAGGACCTCGTCGCAGAAGAAAGGCGTGTGCTTTCTGCAGATGGAAAGTAAACGGCCCGAGGGAGAGAGACGACTCGACTCGACTCAACTCGAGGCAGCAGCAGCGACAGCAACAACACAGACTGTTGCATTGTGGCGCGGTACTGCTGGTGCTGAGGTGATCCGGCAATAGCAAAGACGGAGAAGTGCCGAACGAGGCTCTCTCTGGCTCTCTGCCATGTCTCTGGGGCTTGATTGCCCTTAGGGCCATCAAGCGTCTCCAGGATTTCCAGGAATACCACCACGGGCTGCGGAAGCGTGGAGGCTGGGGATCCGAATGCCTGCCAACCTCTCCACTCTCGCGGATAACCATAGATCGTCCCGCCGATTATCTCGACGTCGCTTCCCAGTAGGGCTCTGCGCTAAGGATTAAGTTACATCGTGCTAGTGCGAGTTGTTGTCCGTCTGCCTGGGGCGGAATACGGAAGCGCTTAGCATTTCGCAGTGCCTAGCTGCCACGCTGCTCACAGTTTTTGTCACACACACACACGCGCGGGCGCGCGCGGGAGGAGGAGGAACTTGGAAGAGGAGGGACGGAAGTGGACGAAGGAGAAGAGGACGACCCCTGGCTGGTGTGGTAAGACGACAACGGAGCTGAGTGCTGAGTCGCTGAGCAAGAGGATGAACCTGTTCGCATGCTCTCACTCTATCTTCCATCTGTTGACTTTGAACTCAGGCCAGGCATGTCCAATGCACCAGGGACGTGTGCCAAGGCCCAACCGCAGACTGCGACTGGCTCGCAGATGGGCCCTCTGGAGTCTCTCTGGATGGCGATCGTCCAAAGCCCTTATGACAACCATCTCTCGGCCGGGCGTGAAATACGAGGACGTCGTGGAACTTTGCTGCGATGCAGGAACTGGGGGGCTGTCGTCAATTCTCGTAGGATGGACCTTATGGCCCTATGAACGCCGTACAGCGTGACCTCGAGAACCCTGAAACATCGGAATGGCCCCGCGTAAGACGACGATATCTTGGCTCTTTTTTTGCTCTTCCCGCGCCGCCGCCCAGGCGCATTGAGCGACGAGTGCACTTCCCGCCGTCAGAACTTGTCATGGTGTGACGGTGAAGCTTGGCCTGTCGTGGTTTTGTTCGTCAGCTACTGATGCTGTTCACCCCTCTCCAAAAAAGAGGAGCAGACAGCAAAGCTGAGTCTCGGCGGCCCAGGCCTTCCTTGACAGTTTCTTTTTGATGGTCCCCTGTCATGATCGGGTCTCTCGGTGCATAGTGGCTTGGCAATGCGACCGCCGGACTCTGTTGGATAGGAACTTGAGAACAGTTGAGTGAGAAAAGAGAGAGTGCTTCCCATGATGCAGCTGCTGACAGACCGGTCAGAAGAAGACCCCTGCTCACTAAATTGCGCCCCGTGGAAGCGCATGTTCTCAAGGCCCGTCGGGAGTCGTTCAGGTTGCGTTTTTCTGTTCTATTGCTGCAGACCTATGCAGAGTCCGCTTCATCGTCATCCGCAGTCTATGTCCAAATTGTCTAGACACCCTACATAAAAGTTACAGAGTGCGAGAATAAAATGGCCGGTGCTCGGAGACGGAGGCTGAAACAAGCATAGTGCACAGCGCCACGATTCACGGCGTGACAAAAGGGACGAACTCGATTCTGCCGTGGAGGTTGAGCGAGGTCTGCTGATAGAGTTCGATTTTTGGGACTGTCTTGAGTCTTGACAGGCCCAGTGACTGGGGGGGGGGGGGTTGCTTAATCAATCTGGTCTTGGAGAGTCTTGGAGAGACACAAGGCCGGTAGAATAGGAACCATGATACTGGGACCAACCCAGTCCTCCATGAGAAGTCTCCGACGCCGCCGCAACCCGTATCCTACAGGGTACGTGGGATCCCAATCTTTCGTCTTTTCCATCTTTAGAGGGGGGCCAAGATTCTTGGGTCTTGGCTGTAAAAAGCTAGAGGACCCCAGAAGACCCAGCAGACTAGGAATACCCCAGCCTGCCGGAACCCCGCGTCGTGTCGTACGTCGGTCGCATCGCGGCATCGCTTTGTTGGTTCTGTTCTCTCTCCCATCACTGTCCGCGATCACTCAACCGCTGATTAGAGCCATTCTGAAGTAGGTAACAGTCGGGCGCAAGGGAGGCAAACAGGAGAGAAGATGGAGGTTTGTCCTGACCCGGCGCGGCATCTCATCTTGCCCACCTCCCGAGCAGCCTGACCGCTTGACTGACCGCAGAGTACATTGCCGATGCAAGTCGCTGAGCTCAGGTTCATGATCGACGGCTAGAAGTTCAACCAACGGAAGAGGCTTTTTTTCTACTCTGTATGTACTTTTGTCAATTGTGCAGGTAAATCAGCCGACATTTCTACATCGCCCACACCATAACGCTCGTCAGCCTGCAGCTCCATCCAGTGACAGGTCCCTGTTTTTTGTTCTTCCAGACCACCTTGAACATTGAAGCAAATACTCCCCAGCTGCGATGCGACGCTGAAGGTGCACGATGATATCTGGGGAGATGACGCTCGTCGCCCTGGAGCGGGCCCGGGGTGGGACACCCTAGACAGCACTCTCACTATCTTCGGAATGACTGATTTTCTCTGACTGAGACATGGAGCAATCCGTGAGCTGACGAGACATGGTTCTCACACGGGACGGCCTTGACGTCAGCCGGAAAGTGGTAGCGATGTTCCCTGCTCTTCGTCGCGATGCATGGCCACGTCAGGCGGCGCATCGTCAAAGGTCTGGTCTCGTAAGAGTTTTTGATGTTTTTTTTTTTTTGGCCCAACTGAACTGCTAAAGTCCCATTGGCGAAAACGGAGGTACGGATGCGCTCGCTGGGAACGGCGTCGCCCTGCTAGACCGCTTGGCCAACGCCGTCGCATCGTATTCAGGAAACGGAACCCAAGACTCACAGAGAGTGGCACTCGGAATACGGAGGACTAACGACGCCCGAGATCGACGGCCGGGGAGCCAACTTTGTGTGAGGGGAACTCCTCTCGTCTCCATCTTCCAAGACGCTTCTCATGGCGGACAACTCCAAAGGGGGCCCAATTCTTTGTGGCGTCCCGTCGAAATACAACTCTCTAACATCCTTTTTCGCAGCCTCGTCTTTCTCTCGTCCTCATGTTTCCGCCGGATGCCCCGATGGGACGCCAAGACCGTCGTACCTGAAGCATGGGCGATGGAAGGTTTCAAGATCCGCAACAGCATTGCTTTGCCAAGACGTCGTCTCCTCTGCCCTGCGACTTGCGAGTGACAGCAGTCAAACACGGAGTGACGAACCCTCCTTTACGAGTCAAGCGCCGAAGCTGACGCTACCGAAATTGAACAATTGTACTGGACGCGCGTGGTGTTGCTAATTCAACCGGCTGATGAATTGCGACCCTTGTCAAAAATGAAATGGCAAAGATTCGACGGTTTTTGCCCAATGTCTTTGGAAGAAACCGTCCCGACTCCCACCTGAGCTACTGCGTACGCGACAGCACCTGAAGGTACGGAGCCCAATCCGAACCGCGTGATCGGGTGCCTCC